CACACAGGACCAGCAGTCATGTCCCCAGTTCCGTTTTATGGTGTGCAGGGCTTTATTTTCGGTAAAACAAAAGTGCCGGTAAACACTACAATATATCTTTTAAAAAAAGGTGTCGGTAGATACCACACGGTATCTTGTTCTTGTTCTTGGCGTTTAATGGCTGTAAACTCTGGCACACAGTTGTGGTTGTGTGTCCACCTCTGGACTTTAGTCATGTTCAGAAACTCAGTATTGTATGGACATTCGTTTAACAGATCTGTCTTTATGCAGATTATTGGTTCATTACCTCTCAGGAAGCCCCAATAAGTCGACTCTTACGACATGCCTGTTCGGGAGGCAGTGGGTTTATTCTTGTTGTCTTCAGAATGGGGCCCCAGGACCACACGCAGAACAAAGTACCTATTACAGAAGCACTGAAAAACATTCCCTAAAATTGTATAAGTACCGTTGCGTACCACTTGAAACAAATCCCTGATACTATTCCGTCCGCTTGATAATAAGGATGACATCCTTTCAGCGCCTTGGCCCCTCCTAACAACGTCCTTCGTAGGGTTACAAGAGATCATGGTGGACAATACAGGACGCCAACGTGATGGCGTGGAGGGGGTTTTAGTAAACAGGGAGCTGGAACTTGGCGCCTTAGGCACACTGAGACGCCCCCACCCCGCCCCGAAAAATCTGCAAGCGGTCCAAGCAGTACCCCGCCCCCCCAAACCCCCCCCCCCCCCACACGCCATGTATAGAACTTCTTCTTATAAACATTCATACATACACACACACACACACACAACGTATATATTAATTATAAACGAATACAACAAAACAACCCCCCCCCCCCTTTTTTTTTCCCTTTTCCCCTAATCCATGTGTTGGAACGGAATGGATTTCCACTTCCGTTCGTTTTCGTTTCTTTCCTTACAGGGTTCATTTTATTGTGTAAGAACCCCCTCCCCCTTTTTTTTAAGGATTCCAACTGTTTGATTCGTTGATACAGACTTTGTTCGAACATTTGGTTGCTTCCTCAGTACGTCTTTTATTTCCCTTCATTGAGCTTCTACTAGCAATATTTTTTTTAAAATTCATTTAATTCTAGGTAATCACCTATACTTACTACACACACACACACACACACACACACACAAATAATTTGTTCCTATTTGGATTACAGCCTGAAAAAAAAATATGAAAAGACTGACACCTAGTGACTCAAACCACAGCCAGCTCCCTTACTCTTCACCTGCAAATACAAGAAACCCTTTCTTGTCTTGCATTGTTATGCGATCCCCAAAAAAAAAAAAAATCGTTACGTTTAACCGGTATCCTCAGAGAGTGAGCTTTCGGTTATAATTGTGCAAAGGTTATTTGCTTCATATAAAATTGCTTAGCATTGCTCGCAATAGTACAATTTCCCTCTTAATGACATCCAGAAAGGTGTAAACAAACAGTATTTGAAACAATAATACCGCATACATTTCTGTCCTAAGATAATAGCAAGATCTATACAATAACAAATACATACTCAAGAGAACTCCATTAACACTTTTTATCCCAATTATAACCATGAGGGAATATATTAATTTGTTTTCTGGACGATTTTTGGGGGGAAAAAGGGGGGGGGGCATGGGTTGGGGTGAACATTATTTATATTTCTCTCTTTCTGCCCCATCGTTGAGCCCCATACACATTGTTCATTTAGTTATTTCTTTACTCTTATCATATCCGAGGCCGTGAATACCAGCTTCTATGTTGTACCACGACCTACTGCAGTTTGTTTTTTATACTAGAGAAAGCGGTGGTTGTTACACACAAAGGCCTTTCAAAATCTGACGCTTAAAGAAGAGGAAGAAGAAGAAGAAGAAGAAGAGGAGGAGGAGGAAGTAGACGCCTTACCGCCAGGACACGTGATTATTACAAATAGACGTATCGACATTGTGGTATTGCTGGCAGCCCTATATGTAGTATTTAAGTATCGCCTCTTGAAGGAGCCCAACTGAAATCTTCGTCATCGGGGTTGCCCGAAATGATTTGACAGCTTACAAAGAAGAAAGATATGTTTAATGCTAACAAGTCCTCTAAATTACTTTACTGTACTGGTGCTAATAATACTAATAGGGTAGCCACAGATTAATTACGAGAAGGTAACCAAATTATTATTGTAGGGAGTAATTCGTAATTTACTAATTAATTAATATCCTGCGCTCGATCAGAACTCAGGGTTATGATGGTTAAAATAAATCATTGTCTATTGCCATATTGCATTTTCAGTTTCAGGAATCTGTTGTTAATCGTACATTTTATTTAAAACTATAATGTCCAGTCCATTTGTTTATTTAAATTTTTTTTTTAAACTATGTTTGATATTATTATTATTTATATTACTATGTATATATATGTCAGTAAATCATTTCTTTTAGTGTTTTTTTCACATTCCTTCTTTGAAATGATGGATAGTTAGTAGTGTTGATATTGTCAGCGTTATATAAGGAAATGACTATATCAGTAATGTTTCCTATTACAAATAGCTTTTATTTAATTTATGTCCTGCGGAGTTTCTGGTCGACATTTGGAATGTGTTTCTGTAAACTGAGTAACTAATAACACTCTTCGTTGTTTGTATAGTCGGTTAAATTAAATCTTCCACTACCTTGATTTAGTATAAGCTTTTTTTGTCAGATTTTAGGTTAAAACGGAAAGTTAAACTTCCTTTATTTTGGCCAAAAATTTTATAATTTGATATATATATATGTGTATATAATATATATGTGTATATATATGCTTACAAACATTATTAGCTATGTACGTAATAAATGGTAATAGTGTGTAAAGTGTGTTAGAAATTGTATTGTAAAAATTACTATAAAAAAATCGGCTCTCTGAACTGCATCATAATATTATGGCGGCCATAAAATATCCAAAAATATCCTAACAGGGCTCAGGCATATCTAAAATACGGACTTTCTGCCAAGGAACAAATCGCGGCAAAACTAGGATTACTTGACAATATCAACATTGCACACATTAATAGTAGCAGATGATAAATACCGACTGTTGACAATTTCGAACGTTTCTGCAGACGATATTAGCGACCGTTGACAATTTCGAGACATTACAGACGATGAAAGTGATATGGCAAGTAGACCACGCGCTCCCACACAGATTAGCAATACTGTTCGTCCGATTGAGGATTTAGCAGCTGTAGATGTCAGACCTGCCGACCTGTATTCTCACACTTTTCGGCATGCACAAAACACGATTAAACTTACTGCTGAGTGTATCCCCCGCGCCGCTACGCGCGGTGCGCATGGGGGGCTAAACTAGGTGCCTGGGACTCACGAGTGAATTAGTTGGAGGAAGTTGTAGGAGATGCGGTAGCTGCTGCTCGTGAGTCCCAGCCATCTAGTTTAGCCCCCATTCGCGGCGCGGGGGGATACGGTTGGCGGTGAGTCACAGAAACATGTCCGCAAGTAACATATCGCTGAGACCCTGTTAGAGCATTTGTTTCGTTATGCGGAGCCGGCATATTTTTAATACAATTGAGCCCCGTTCGGATATTTCAAGATATTTTATGGTCGCCATAATATTATGACGCCGTTCGGAGGAGAGCCAAAAAATCATGCCTATGCTCATATTTTGTAATCATAATCTTATGTCTTATGGCTCCGATTTTATTATATACTCTTATACTTGAAGTATACTGACTTAAAGGCAATCACATAATATGAAAGTCACAATTATTTTGAATGTACACCTATTAATATTACTATTATTATAATCTTTTAAATATTATGCCTAATTCTTAAATAAAATACTTTTAATTTACAATCTTAGAACCTCTTGTATCTATTACTTAATAGATAAAAGTACTAGGCAAATATAAATATCCCATATTTGACAAAACAAAAACAAAACTCTATAATGTCACAGACATCTGCCAGAAGGGTTAGACAGGACATATGTTTCAAAATTATTATTGTCACTGAATCCTCATTTGCATTTCTCTTGAATTTGCCCTAGCAATATTGAAATCTGATCTACCATTGTCAGTGAACAAGATATTATGAACAGATGGCTTTAGAGATTTGGGAATGGGGGAAATCTTGCAATTTATAACTAGAATAGGAAATGTCAGTGTATCTTTGAAAGTATCTTTTGCTAAAGCTAACCACGCCTTTCTATTGAGGATGATCAATAAAACTTTTTCACAGCAAATAAATGTTTACAAAAGGCACATTCAGTGACCATAAATCGACTAATTTTAAATCATAAAGTAATGAGTATTATCAAAATAGTCATTACATATTAAATTATAAATTATAATCATAACCAAGAAAGTATAGTGGGATACTATTTTAAAAAATAACAATATGTTGTTGTTTTTATCGATTCATCGGTACATGAGCTTTTACCCTTTGGCCCAATGCCAGAAGGAAAAATCTAAAATAAATATTATAAATGACTGAAAGAAATGATCATAAGATGCATGAAATAACAAAAGTATGTATTGGAAATACAATGGACACAATATGCCTATCCTAAATAGAACCCTGAGTTTTTAGTGTAGTAGGGTGAAGCACATCTGCAAAGTCTTTGAGATCTGTTGGAAGAAGTAACTAATTTCTCAAGGGAACAATAACCTTTGGGTGACTGTTGCTTTAAAGGACTGAGCATGCACACCCAGCGTGCAGCGATGATTATGATAATAACTTAAAAGGTTGAACAGGAGATTATTTATATGAAAACTACTACTACTATTTGATCTCGATAATTGTTTTCTATAAATGCATTTTATTCATATTTCTTTTCTTTTCTTTTTCAGACATTTCACTGTGTAGCCTTCATTACTATAACAGGATACCAGATATTATATATATATATTCAGTAGTTGCATTTAAGAGTACCCACATGAAAGAACATTAACTAAAGGTGAATAAGTGTAGTTGCTAAATGTCTTCATCAACAAAAGTATTTAAAAATATTTAGTCAAGTCAATTCATGTGAAAATGTCTAATAAACATAATTTGCCTGATTTGCTGAGAAATAATGCAGCATGCTCAGTGCTGGCAGTTATTGCAGGAATCCAATTTGAATGTTTAGTAAGGGTTCTCCACAGAATTGGTAAAAGCAAACAAGACACTCTTTTTAATATACTATGCCACATCTTGAAGCTAAAAATGAGACAGTGTGAAATATGCAAGAATGCAGAAAATGTACTGAATAATCATGATTGCGACAACAGCTTCAAAAAACTTTCAGAAATTCATATTAGTGAAGGGGCTTATACTAAACTTTGCATTAAGGAAACAATTCTGAATAAATCATGTGTTACCGATAACAATATTTTAAAATTTTTGACTTACACATTTTTCTGTGACCTGAAAGTTCTTTTAATTAAAACTAAGTCAAAAGAGATTCCTTTAAATAAACATAAGGTCAGTGGTATTGCAACAGATAAAGATTTAGCGCAAATGGTTAAGAAATTTTTCAGTGACTTAAAAGACTTCTCTATAGTTACAGAGTCAAAAGAGACCCAGTTAAGGGTACATGAAGATAAAAAGCCTAAATTGAAATCAGTAGAATTAAATGGTAGCAGTTCAATTACAGATGTTGGAGAGTGTGTAAAATCAAAACCAGTGTCATACAAAACAGAACAACAAAATGACTCCAGAAATACTGACGGTGAATCACAACTGTTAGATTTGTGGGTAAAACAGAAGCAGATACCTACCACAGCACCAGTTTACCATGTGTACATGACACAGGTAAAGTCACATCCACAAACAGTGAATGGTATTCCTTGGAACCTACTGAATGCAGAACAGTTCAGGCTAGTCACATTTGCACAGTATCCTCACACTGCTAAAAAGTCTGCTATTTTGCTAGCAAATGAAGGATTTGCTTACTGTGGGTCAGGTAGAGATGAAGATGATACAGTTATTTGTTATTTTTGCTGTGCACTAAAACAAGGTTGGCATGAATCAGAAGATATTCAGGCAGCTCACAGAATTCTGTCGCCGGATTGTTGTATGGTAACTGGCGCAAATTGTAACAATATTCCAATGACATTACCTGTGAATGGAGAATCACTTTTTACTAGGTTTTACAGTCCAGATGTTGCAAATGAAAACACAACACAAAGTGCAAGATATAAGAGGAAAAATGAATTAGAATGTGATGGTTCTGAGGGTAGCACTCTGGCAGAAAATAGGAATAACGTGGCAGCACAAGCTTCTCAAGCTAGCAGAGATATTGGATCTGTTCCTGTCTCTGAATTGTCTAAATCAGTGAACCAAACAGATGTGCGGCCTGGTGCCTCAAACACACCTATGAATCTAGAATCAACAAGACCCAATGCCGCTCATAACCATCCTGTAAACAGTGGTGCCCCATCACATAACGTCAGTTCAAACAGTAGTTTAGTAAGCCCGTCAAGTGCCTCTGTAATTCCAAACGGAACTCCAGCAGTATCTGCTCAGCTGGGAAGCGTTAACAATGTGTCATCTACAGAAACAGCAGCAGCATCCAGTAGGCAAGCGACAGCAGTTCAAACTCCAGGATCAGATAGGCAACCTACGATACAGCAGACGACTGCAACATCCCCATCACATGTTAACCAAAGCCCTCAGAATTCGGCTTCTGTCGGAGGGACAACGACATCTACAAACCAAAGCACTCAGAATTCAGCTTCTGCTGGAGGGACGACATCTACAAACCAAAGTGCCAGCCAGCCCCAGGGAAATTCATCAGAGTCTGCAACAGGTAATGCTCAGAATAAAGCACCAACATATGGAGACCTGGGTATCATCACCGAAAGACCTAAAAGATTTGAATATGCTGTAACAGCCACTCGTTTTGCATCCTTTGAACACTGGCCTAGAGATCACCCTTTGAAAAAAGAGGATTTGGCAGAGGCGGGATTTTATTATGCAGGTAATTCAGTGTAAAAAATTTGTTGTGAAAGTACTTGTAGTTTTAGTGTCTTCTTGTAGGCTTCGATCTGGAGATAGATAGTTTTAAAAGATAAAGTTTAGCTGGAAAAATTAGTTAAATTTATAACTTTTTTAAAACATGACTTGCAGAGAATAATTTTTAAAAATAGTCTTTTCTTCACCTGCTTTACTTGTAAAAGACCTCTCTTTGGGTATGGTAAATAAAATTTTCCTCAAGTTTAGGAAACTTAAAATAGAAAAGCCAACTTTAAACTAATTCTAAATCTTTACAGACAGCAAATGGTGAATATAGCACACAATTAATAACTCCAATTCCAGCCAGGCTTAGGATGATTCCAGAATGTTATATATCACCAAGCCTATTCAATGCTCATTGGAAAAAATAAAAATAAACTGAAGTGACTTACAAATATCACATCACATTTCTCTTTTATATCAGACATTCCCTTTTCTCCTCTCTTGAATTTGCCTCCATTTTTGTTTTTTAATTGTAGACTTCCAAACCAAATTTATTTTTCAGCAGTTCTCAGTTTTTGTTCTGATGTCTTTAACTCTTTGAGTCCCAAGGAACGCATCATACGTTCATAGGTTCCTACTTAGAAGCCCAATGAAGGCATGATGCGCCGATTTCATTACTTTCTTTACTCCCCTCTGGGACTCAAAGAGTTCAGACTTCCTTTCGTTTGATTTTTTTCCTGTTCAGCTGACTCTTTTACACACTACAGATGAGTTTTATTTGCAAGTAGTTCCACCAAGAAAACAAACATAAGTAATTTAGATTCATGATTATTATGGTTATCTGTAGTCAAGAAAATATGTTTTCCTTTGTAGGTTATGGCGACTGTGCACGCTGCTTCTACTGTGGTGGTGGCCTGAGAAACTGGGAAGATGATGATAATGTGTGGGTGGAGCATGCCAGGTGGTTTCCAAAATGTGCCTACATCCGACAAACAGTAGGACAACAGTTTGTGGATACAGTGCAGGAGCTTAACAAACACAATGACAAGGTGAGATACAAGAGTCTAACATAAATCTAACAAGGCAAGATACAAGAGTTAAGTTAATAACTGACTTCACAACACTCGGTAAATTCCCATAAGTGCCCTGTCCTTATCTTCAGCAGCCAGCTTCCAATGCTGATGGTACCAGAAGCAGTTTAATTATATGCCCATCTTACCTCTACTGTTAGCATAGAGTGTCGGCAAGGTCCCCGGGTCACTCCCTGTTACAGCATTCTCTCCACACCTTATTTTTTATTTTGCACTTCCACATTGTTCTCTTGCCTTAACCACACTGAGCTTGTCATGCTACAGTTAGCCATCCAGTGATGCAATCTGTTGTCTGGTCATTTCCCAACACATCTGCATTTCCCATAGAGAGAAAAAAAAATGAAATGATGCTAACTGCCGGAGAACTGATGCGATGCTTGTCACTCTGCACAGAAAGTATGCCTTTTATCGCCTTTCTCATTCATGCTTTATGGGCCATTTACAATTGTGACATGTGTTTGCAGCTGGTTCACAAGCCATTAAAAAGCTACTGAGACTGCCTCCACCTCTATTCTCAAATTAAATGTTCTGGTTTCAAATTCTAGGCTGTGTTATACTAAGTGTGTGACTTCTTGAAAATTGTGACACAGAATACAATTAAATTACGTATGAATAAAAACTATGAGAAGGTAGATTAAAATGTCTGACTACTTAAAAGTAAAATGTCTGACTACTTAAAAGTAAAATGTCTGACTACTTAAAAGCTGTCCCTGCGTAATAGTAGAAAGAGTAGAAGTACATTACTTAGCAAGAACTGTGATAAGGTAAGATAGCATATACAACGTGTTAGGTCTGTGTTCCAGACTTAGGCTTCGACATGGAAGCCTAAATCAATTAACTCTTTGAGTCCCAGAGGTTTTAGCATCACAGGCCCAAGGGGTAGTCAAGAGAGATGTAAAATCGGCACATCATGCATTCATTGGGCTTCTAGGTAGTAACCTATGAACGTATGATGCGTTCCTTGGGACTCAAAGAGTTAAAAAAAAATCTTTGCTGTATGGTAGATTTAAATACCTGACCACCAGGAGGACAGTGCATGGGCTTTCCCACAAATCCTCTATTCCCATCTTCAGCAGCCAGCACAGTGCTTCAATACTAATGGTGCCAGTTGTAGTCTGATAATATTTTTGTCCTATCCTTCTTCTGAGCATTGCGTGTCTACTGTATTGTCTGGTCATTTCCATTTATGTTGTATGAATTGTTTTCAAAACTAGCATTACATATTCTTCATTTGTGTAGAACAAAATACAAGAATGATCAGCGTTTATGTGATATTCCATTCCAGATTACATATAAGATGGTGACGGATAAAATGGGCAGCTCCGCAGCATCCTTTCAGCTAGGTAATATTTTGTTCTAAACACAAATTAACACATCCTGTATAAATACATTGTGATTGGTATTATTTTGAGCAAGCACAGAGATTCCAGAATCTAGGCATGTCGATTGACAGTTTTTTTCCTCTATGGTTTGTGGCCTAAAAGTTTGAGATCCCTGCAACTAAATCAGTCACTGCCTGGGTGCCAATCCCCCTGTGCAATTTCCTGAAATCCCATTCCATTTCTTTAGTTATAATGAGGTGTACCCTACTGGCATATGTTGTTCGTCCATCACAAGTGATGAAGACCACTTTCATCCAAAGGATCAATGATTATGTGTACAAAGGTGGCTGATTAGTCCAATATGAGCCAGGAAAGTTCTTGAGCAGTGCGGACAGCAGATGGAAGCCGCAGTAAGTGTGAGATTAGCAGTATGATACTTTCTAATCTGCCTCCGTTTCTTTGTCTGTGCAACCTCCGCTGCCTGGCAGGCTGATGCACCATGTCTGAGGGACGTACGCCATCCAGAACGGTCTTGTGCAGCAACCTCCCACGTTGCTATACTGACATATACACGGAGATAGCAGCTGTCACAGACCGTTTAGCACGCTACTCGCGCATTGATAGTGACACACTCAATAATCATGCTTAAGAAGATCCAGGCAGATAAATTCTGACTAGAATGGGTTGACAGCATTTAGAAGTCCCGCTTCAAGAAACTTTCTTGACTGTACACACCAGGACATACCAGGGTGAGCGGAAATGAAAGAATTGACAGACTGGTCACGTCTGCAGTTGTTAGTGGAGGAGTTAGTCCATTTGTCCGTGAGGCAAAGAACAGTATATTGTGCACAAATAAGCCAGTAAAACCAGATGTACATGCAAAACAAAAAAGATTTATTGCATGTTATAAAGACCTAGTTTTCATTGATGACTGTAAATCTTGGACAACTAATTGATATCTCAGAGATATATTTGTTCAGAAAAATGTGAAAAGACTAACAGAATGGGAGCCTTGGGTCCTAATGAGAAAAAGAGCTTAATATTTGTGTGGGAAGAACTGATAGGCAACATGGAGACCAGATAAATGTCTTACACAGGGACACTCAACTAAGCTTACTGAGGAACCAAAATGTTGGATAAAGGTGGATTGTCGCGGGCCAGAGACCCGAGCCTCAGCATATTAAGGTCATTAATACAGTGCAGGTGGTCCGTGGGGCATTTGCTAGACCTCTGCAGGCCACCGGTTGTTAAATATCTTTGATCTTAAATAATGTTTATTATAATTTTGATGAATTTATTATTAATTTAAATTATCACAGTCAGCTGCTCAAGAGGAATGAATGGGTATGAGGTAATTTTAAAAAAAAAATTTAATTTTTTGTATTTAAATTATACATTGCCTACAGATACCAGGAGCATGCCTTTGAAACGAGACCCGGCAGTTTTGACTGTTCTGGAGATGGGTTACTGTGAAAAAGATGTAATTGAAGCTGCAAAATATGTCAAGGACACCTGTGAGTAGGCTTGTTTATGTTTGTGTATTTAAAAAAATGGTAAACTTGTCTTATGATTTGGTAGTAAATTAAGTAGAAGACTCTTTTCACAACAGTGATGCAGAGGATATATGATGCTACTCGTATTATAGACCCGTCTACACTCATGATGCCAGCCATCTTTACAGCCAAGGACTTCACCTGGCACCCATTTTAGGCTGGGTCGACCTGTGATTCAAGGTATTGTGAAAAACATCCGATCAAGATTGAACAACAAACATTTATTTATTGGTGCAGAATTGAGAGGATTAAATGAAATGACAGAACTTTTCATGTGGAGTCAAGAGAAGAAATTAAACAGATTTCAAGAGGTGCGGAAAAGATGCTGGCTATGACAACATTTGTAGTAAATCTGATAACATGCTGTAGCTCACAAGGTAAAAAAAAAATACAGGGGAGATCAACAAACATACAAAGAAAAAACTAAAGGCTGAGGGGAATAAGTTGGGGAGGATATTAAATGAGTGGCATACAATGGCAAAAGATATGTTAGAGAGCATATGCTTCATTAGGAGGTAGAGGGAAGAAGAAGAAGAGTGAACAGTCTCAGATATGTTTTTTGTTTTTAATTCTAGCATACTTGAGAAGCATGTTTAAATTAAAAATGGTTTCCTTATTTGCAAAAAGTGATGACAGGTAAATAATAAAGTTGAAGTTAATTTATCCTTTCAACTGGAGGTCATCATCATGTAGCAGGTCCTTTACAAAATGTCTGTCTCATCACAGACCACATGAAAGAGACTCATTCTCTTGTCAACTTTCCCACATCATGCACCTTCCTACCCAAGATGTCCCTTATATCCTATGCCCGTTTCATGTTGGTTGCTCTTTTCTAGTACCATGTCCTCTGCTACAGTTCTTTCCAGTCAACCATGGTGATTGATATAGCCAAAGTATTTTAATTTCTGAGACAAGATGCTGTCTACTCGTCAGGCTTCCTTGATGTTCAGTTCTGTTAGGGTATTGATTTATCTTTTCTTCTTAGTTCATGTTATTCTAAAAAAATCTTTCTATAGCATTTCAGCTAGAAAGTCCCAATTTTCTTCCTAAATGGTTGAGAGATAGTCAACAACTCACATATGTATGCTGCTATAGGGAAAATAACTGGTCTAAAAATTTTGACTGATTTTCATTCTGGCACTTAGTCATAAACCTTTAATGCTGTTTAGTCAGTTAGAGATAACTTGTTGAAATATTCTTCTGTGTAAAAGATATACTAGACTACCTGATCATAAATACAGTGTTCATGTCTGAAGATGTCATAACTAAAAACTGCAGGTACCTCGAGCTTGAGCACATTAATATGATAGATACTGAAGTAAATGGTTTCTTGAAATGAGAAAGTTTCCTTCAATTTTATGTCAGAAGCCATAGAGGTATATTTAGATTTTAAAAAAATTACAATTTATTTTACTAAGTATTTAAAATAACATACCTAGATGTCAAATTTAGAATTCCTTTTTTTTTTTTTTAAATATCCTTTAAATCTTTTTTTTCTTTCTGTTCAGCTTAAAATAACCACATTAACACGGTATTCTGCATTGCTAATTATTTCTGATTTTATGTTATATATATGTGTGTGTGTTTCAGTTATTCACAGCTAGCTAATTATTCACCATATTATTGTCTTTAATTAAATATTTTCTCTGGTTTAGATGGCACCCTATCTTCAGATAAAGTGTTTGAAAAGTTAGAGATGGACGGAAAGTCCAGAAGTGGTGCTGATCCTTTGGCTTCACCCAGTGGGAGCAGCAAGCGTGGCACAAATCCAGCAAAGGATGAGCGTAAGTAAATTATCAGTTAATATTATTTCTTCATTGTCTTTCTGTATGCTTTTCTATGTTTCTCCTTCTTTTTGCTCGTATAGAATGGACAAATATCTGATATTTATGTTTTCTGCATTCCCTGTGTGAATTCGACGGCTGTGTTTTAGGGGGGATAGACCCACCCCCCTTAATAGGCATGTCATAAAAGGCGACTGATTAAGATTTGCTGAAATTGAATGTGTCGGGCCAGAAGGGTTGATATCACAGCTAAGCTGTAAACTACAACACAGCATACAAGCCACTCTTTTGGTGGTGAATGCAGAAGAAGAAGGAATTCCCTGCATAAATGGTGCTGTCTTCTGACCTTTCTTCAGGTTTCCACAGAGCTTGACTTTTATAGTTTGCCAAAAAAATAGAGATTTCTGAACTGCTTTTGGTACGGTCATATTTTATTTGTAACAGCAGATGACAAGTAAAAGTGATAAAATGTAACTCAGCTTGAATAACAGGAAGACAGAAGTAATGGTAACATCATCAGAAAAGAATAATGCCTAAATGTATAATAAAAGTCAGAGGTGTTTTTTTTAAGGACAGTTACTGAAATTTCTAAATCTAGGCACATCATTAGAGACTAAGAACAGACTAAGACTATGTTTTATAAAGTGAGGAGTATTTTATGCAATAAATCCATGTAATTGGACGTTAACAAAAGAATTCTCGCATACTGTATAGAGGCTGTTTTAACATAAGGATGTGAATCCTAGACAATTAATAAAAAAGTCAAACAATTAGTTCTGGCCTCAGAAGAATCATTAGAATTCCTTGGGCAGCCAAAAGGAGTCACCCATTTGTTTTGAAAGAGGCGAGGGCTCAAAGACAACTTATTACAAACATCCGAAAGAGACAGTCATCGTTTTTGTCATGTTATGAAAAGAAGGAAACTGGAACGTGTTGTGACTACTGAAAAGATTGTTGGAAAAAGAGAAGGGGAAAAAAACAACATGAGAAGATTCCAGACAGTCTTTTATCATGGCATGGAGGGGTGTCAACACATGAACTGATACATGCTGCTGAAAATCGCAGACTGTGGAGAGGCAGTATTGCCCACTCCAGTCAGCAAGGCACTTTATGAGGATGAGGTGACAGCCCAGTTGTTGCTGTGTTCCTTTTGGCTGATGACCTCAGTTATTAGAGTACAGATTTTGGATCCTGCTGGGTCATTATGTAATCCATGATTTAAAAGTGGCTTAACCCTTCTAATCTGAAGAGGTTTTGCTGCCGAAACCCAGTTGAGAAAGTATCGTAAATAAGGAGTCGTTAATTCTGGAATTTTTTTTTCAAATACATACTCGTGGAAGTGGCTGCTGCAGAAGCCAGATTATTTCAATATGTTCGTAACAAATGCTAAGAGTCGGAAAACACAGGTTGGTTAAGTTGAGTCAAATATTGACATCACAACACTCGGGGCATTACCATGTGTGCTCAATACAGGTTGGTGTTCATTTGGAAGAACAAAAGACACACCTCGTGTGGCCTGGGACTGATAGAGTTGAGGAGTTTAGAAATATGATTTCCAGTGAGTTCCACACACTTTCTGTGCACTGAGAACTTCTGCCAGGTCCTGTTAGGTGTCATATTTGCATGGTGTATGAACACAGACCCAGTGCAGAGATTCTGTCTTTGTCACATTGTGGTCAACTGGCATCCACAGTGATCCTCTGGAAGTACTCCTCTCACATATACCTATGGCTTTAGCTTTCCTCATTGTAATTCCACTTACCATACATCATTTTATTATTGTGAATTTTTTTTTTTTTTTTTTACATTGCAGAAGTGGATGGCCAAGTAGTTAGAACACTGAACTCTCATTCAGTTGATCAAAACTTCTTCTTCTTCTTTTCCACATTCATGCAGTGCTTGTTGGGGAGGCAGTGGGTTTGTTCTTGTTTTCCCCACAACGGGGCCTCCGAAAGCACAACCAGGTTTTTAGTCCTAGTAAGGCCATGACATTTGTTTCCAGGGGCAAAAATAAAAATCCTCACCTGCACAGTATGTTGTGGCTGCAGTCATGCAAGGTGATAGTTCAAGATCTCATTCCATCGTATTCTATACTGGCAACAAAGACAGTTTTGTTTGTTAACATCTTAGCTTTTCAACTTTGCTGTATATGGAGAGAAGATTAATGCTCCTTTTTCATGTCAGTGGTGCATCAGGCATATACTGCTAGACCTGTTTTTCTTTTTTTCCCTTTTCTTTTCTTTTTTTTTTTTTAAATATAGACCAATTGGCTCTCAGTGGCTGATGTGGTCAGTGTCAGACTGGGACAAGAATAACTTACAATAAACAGGGTAGAGTTTTTGTTAAAACAGACCAGTCGGCTCTCAGTGGCTGATGTGGTTAGTGTCAGGCTGGGACAAGATTAACTTACAATAAACAGGGTAGAGTTTTTGTTAAAACAGACCAGTCGGCTCTCAGTGGCTGATGTGGTTAGTGTCAGGCTGGGACAAGATTAACTTACAATAAACAGGGTAGAGTTTTTGTTAAAACAGGCCAGTCGGCTCTCAGTGGCTGATGTGGTCAGTGTCAGGGGAAAAGATTAACTTACAAAAATCAATGTAGAGTTTTTATACGTTTTTTTTCTTCTTATTTGCACTCCCCGGATGTAAACTCTGGCAAAAGTTATGTCTGTTCGTTCACTTCTTGATTCTAGTCCTGATCCAGAACCTCAGTGTTGCATGCACAGCCATTTAACAGATCTGACTCATTTATATGCAGACTGTTGGTACCATGCCTCTCAAGCAGATTCACTCCCACTTTGAATGAAGGTCCCAATTAGTTGACTTTTACGACATGCTTTAATGTAGGCAGCAGGTCTGTACTTGTCTTCCCCACAGTGGGTCCCAGAACCCACATGAGGGGTATTTTTTGTTTATCACAGTTTACAACTTGTTTTCACAGTGTGTTGAAATGTTTCGCAAAATTTCATCTTTACAGTATTTTAAAATCAAATGTTATTTTTTTTTCTTTTATTTCCAGAGGTGATGAACAAACTGAAAGAAGAAAATAGCCAGCTTCGTCAGCAAACAGTTTGTAAAATTTGCATGGACAAGGAAGTGGCTGTAGTATTTCTTCCATGTGGCCATTTTGTTTCATGTACAGATTGTGCTGCAGCCATGAAGGACTGTCCAGTGTGCAGGAAACAGGTCCGTGGAATTGTGCGTGCTTTCATGGGTTAAATAACTGTTTATTTACAGCTGTAAGGAGTTGGTTGAAGAATTTATAATGGGTAGGTATTATTTATTGTAGGATTGAAAGTTAATAAAGCAGATTTGGATTTTCTATTGCAGTCCAAAACAACTCATGATAGGAACAAATTTCCAAGAAAATAAATGGTACCATCCATTGTTAATTATGTGCAAGATATTGTGAACACAGTTAAAGATTTGATTATTTAGCACAGAAACTTTAATCCCTGAATGTGAATATTTTTTATAGATTGTTGACACTTTTATCGAATGATTTTATCTTATAGGTTGTTGAATATTTAATAGATTATTGACACTCTTATCAACAGATTTTACCTTATAGATTATTGAATATTTAATAGATTGTTGATACTCTCATAAAATGATTTTATCTCATAGATTGGTTGATACTGTCATATGTTAGTTTATCAGCCACAATAACTTTCTTTCCCTAATATCAGAGGTCTTTGATACTGTCATAGATAAATTTATCTGTCACAATAACTTTCTTCCCCACAATGTTTATAATTTCTATGTTGGGCCTAGGGCAATAAGTAACAGAATGGCAGGTGGAGAAATAAGGATGATAACAGCCAAAGTAATATTCAATATTATTAAACAGCTTGCCACATCACAGCAGCTAAAAAAAAAATTAATATAAAACTTACAAATATCAGTCCATTCATTTATTCTACATTGTTGAATGGTAAAAATAAAAAGAACAGTAATTAGTAACCTAAGGATTAACTATAGGTTCCTCAGGTCAGTCTTGTAGACTTTCAAACATCTTGCACAATTTTAGATCTTAAAGTAAAGGACCCTTTTCAATGCCTTCAGAAATGTTGGGCACATAGGCTAGATCTATGTAATTGTGGGTTTACATACCTCTTATTCCATCCGATTTGTCTTGGCCTTGTCTTTAATTGATTTGTCTGCATTATCTTTCTTCGCCCACACATTTTAATTTCATTTCAGACTTTTGATAACTTTACTTTTATCTTTTGGGACTTTGTGAATATTATTTAAATTATTTGTATATTTCCCAAAACATTTTCTCTGAAAATTAGGAGTAAAATTATCCATGCACAGAAATCAGTATAATTAAAATTTCATTTAACTTAATGATTAAATGTATCATATTATGTGTCAAATAGTAGGAAATAAGGATGTAGAAATAACATTTCTTAATGATTCAAAGTCTGGCAAATATTACAAGTTGAATACAGTAGTACTGGTGGCTAAATAAGATTTGTCATACTATGCTTATTGAAGTAAAAAATGACATTCTTTCATATTTATCCAGTTTTACATATGCTCTCATTTCCTATGAAATTTGTTGACATGATACTGGCTTCTTCTTCTCCTCTTCTTCTTTTTCAGCATTCTGAGCCCTTGAGGTTCACTGCTGCTGATAATCACTTGTCTCCATTCATCTTTGTGAAAGGTTCTTTCTTTCCAGTTGGTAACTCCAGGTGTTTGCAGGTTTCCAATGTCATTCACTTAAATCTATCCGGAATTCAGGATTAAATATATGTTTTATGACAGAGTGAAATTTAACGAAGTTGGGTGTCGGCCCCATTCTTCAGCCAAGACTTTTCCAGATAGGACCACGGGGCTGGCGTCGTCAGCTTGACCTGACGTCACCACCCTGGGCTAATAATACGTTCCATTTTCACTCAGACAGTCCAGGTTTTTTTTTTTGTGTGTTTCCTGCCATCCCCTGAGTACTACCCACACAAATTCTAGGAGTAAGCTCGAGAATAGAACTTGTATGTAGATATGTACATGTATACAAATTAAAGGGGGTCGCCGTGGCAGAGCGGTCAGACACTCGCCGCAGATCGGAAAGTTGTGGGTTCTCTCCCTCTCGGAGCCGGACTTTTTAAAAAAAATGACCTTGGCTCCCAGGTCGACCCAGCCTTGAGTGAGTACCGGGTGCAGTCCCGGGAATGTGAAGGTGGCCGGCGTGATACTGACCGCATCACCCATCTTGTGCCGATTGGTCTATAAAAATTTCGGTCTAGCCCTATAAGCCTTAAGGCGTGGAAAAGGGTCCTTTGCTTTACTTTACTTTTTTTTATACAAACTAAAAAGGGAACAGTAGAGAAAAAACATATTTCAAAGAAGAAACAATATAGGTAAATAAATTTTTGATGAATTTATTAGTGACCCATGTAAAATTGAATTTTTTTTTTTAAAGTTTTTTTTTTTTCTGGAATTCCAATAGTGTCATGACCCTTTGTATTTTAGTGTTCCTGGGGCGAGAGGTTTAGAGAAATAAAGACCAACTTATACAACACATTACAAGAACACACACATGACCCTTTCATCTTCTCCAACACTTCACAGAGGTAACTGGAAAAAGAGAAGAAGAAGGTGAATATAATCAGCCTCTTTAAGCATAAAGGAATGCAGAAATAATATTTTGTTTTTACATTGTAAATTCATTTACTTGTTGATAATTCTTTGCAGGATTTTTTCATGTTTTTTTTTTTATATTTTTCAAAATGAAAACAACTGTGGCATTTATTTAGACTGAGAATTCTTGTTGCTGTTTTTTAAACTGATGCAGGCTTGAAGCTGTGATATTTTTTAGTATGGCTTATAGCTGCACTGATTTAATAAACAGTATATTTGTTATGTAAGAAACCTCTGTTACCGTCTTATTGTCACATATTATTTGTGGGTGTGTGTGTTTGTAAAAAGAGAGGTGAAGAGTTAGCTTGCCCATTGACATTGTTTAATGTAATTATTATGCATAATAACATAATTTTCAGAAGAGATAAGTGTTTGTTATTTAATTGCCTCTCCCAGATGTGTTGAGATTGATACCTTGTCTGGAAAGTAATTGTACCATTTGTAATTGTGTGCAATGGTGGACAAGAAGACAACCTTGCGTGTTTTGTTTTCTTTAATAAGCTGTGCTCCATTGGACATTTTCTAGGCCTAGTTCTTGTAGCGTCCTATAGAGTCTGTTCTTTTAGGTAGGTAAGTTGTACCCCACCAGGAAAATACACAAGCGATAAACACCCAGTGACACAAAGTGCCACCATGAGATTGAGGATCACTCGTAGAGAGGTCCCAGAAACCCCATTCAGACATTAGGCCATATTTAAGGCCCGGCTATATTTAGGGCCCCTAGCAAAAGCCAGGGTGGGGCTTCAAAAAAACTAAAAATTGCATCCCACAAGGGGATGACGATTGATTATTAGCAGGGAAAAGATCACATTTTGAGATGAACAATCCACTTTCAGTCCAATGTCATAAATCCAGACATGTAGTGAAGTTTCAATTTTTTCAATAACATTATTTCTTCGAGGATGACAGGACAAATACTCCTTTGACCAACTCCAGTTCCTTAGAAATATCTGCTTTCTTGAGAATTTTATCTATGGTGGACTTTGACATGCCTGTACAGATCAGTTTGCCTGATTCCTTTCTAGAAATTTCCAGTCCCTTTCTTAATATCTATTGTGACTTTCTTTTCCTTTTTCTTAGTTCTCTTTGGCACCACATTGAAAATAATATGCGATATCTAAATAATAATTGTAATTGTTTGTCTATAATGTATTCTGCAAGTATATAAACAAGTTGTATTGTTTGATTACACAAATTCTGAAACAGATACACAATAAAAAGCAAATTGGTACATGCAGCATTCCTCGCATACAACTCGTTGCATTATATTCAAGATAAATGCGATGTAGTTAGAAAAACTCAAATATGTGTATGCACAGTGCATCATGGTTTATTTACATCTTGAATCTAGGTCCGTATGTAGAGGTAAAAAAAGAATCTTAAAATAGTTCTTATTTTGAAAGGTTTGTTTTTAGAGGGGTTCATAAGTTGAGGTGTCACTGTACTGAAAAGCCATCTGCTGGGAAAATATATTTCCACATTGACCAGTGATGTCTTGATAGTGGTTCCAGCTAAATGATTGTTTGAAAAGGTAAATGTCGAGCCCCATTTCAACATTGGAAGGCGTGTTGGATATATGATGCTAGCTCCATATTTGTATGAACCCAGCATTGATGCCGGAAGCAGGGGGTTTCAGACTTCTTGAGCCCCCATCCGCAGTGGGGCAGAGACAAACACCACACCCCCCCCCCCCCCACTCCCAACACACACGCACACATTTTGAATGCGGACTAACAGGCCTTTAACCATACATGAAAAGTATTTGTGTACACAAATCATATTATTTCAAGTACAAGGTCTCCGCCTCCCAAAGCCCAATCCCACGTTCCCATTGTGAGAGGTGACTACAGGACAAAGTAGGGGATTGTTAGTATTGAGCAAAGTATTGTGTGGCCTTGTGGCACAGGACCGCTACGGTAGCCATGAAGACCATTGGGGCTCTGGTGAAGCTGCGACAGGCCTAGCAAGCCAGCAATGGATTTAATATTGCTGCAACAAGTACAATGAGATATAAACAGACTGATTAAATGGCATTTGACTATGGCAATTTTAATGGACTACGAGACAGAAAAGCGAATTACAAGATTGCAACACTTAACACTGCAAGGCTAATAAAATAAAATAGAAGAGACTTGAAATAAAGGAAGGAAAAAAAATCAAGTTAATATGGCTAGCTGATATAAAACGCAAGAGAAATGGAAATAAGAAAGTACTCAGAGACTATCTTTTAACGTACTCAGGAGGAACAACATCGAAGAAGGAGTGAGTTTCCTGGTGCATCCAGACATAGTTAACTACATATTAGACATCTGCTTAAGTCATTAAGCAGTTCCCCAAATATAAAGCACCAGGAGCTGATAGACTACCAAGAGAAATAATCCAAGCAGCAGGTGGAAGCTACAGTTGGCTTCATAGAATATTCAATGCGGCATAGGTACAACAAACTGTTCCCATTGACTAGCAACATGCAATGGTTGTACCATTGTGGGAAACAAGCGAGAATGCAATCAAAATCGAGGCAACTCTCCTTTAGATCATGTTGGTAAAATGTATGCTGTAATAAAAGAAACGAA